TTTGTTCCAAGACTGATGGTGTCTGCTTTGTAATTCTTGCATTAGGGCTTGCCATAAATCTCATGGCATCTTTTTGTACCCTTGGTATTTCCAATACCATAGGATATGTCAGGTTAGATGGCCTGAGAGGCAGGGCTGCTTGCACCCCTGCTGGGATCTCCTGCAAAGCCATTTCTACTACCCTGGGCCCCACTCAAAGCTGGCAGCATTTCATGTCACATAGAATAAGTCTTGGCATTCTTCTCAGTTGCAGAATAAGCTGTCTCTGTAATATAAAGAGGTCTCCCACGCCCTGTGTTTCCTCTTCATGGTGGAAAGTATGAGTGCAAGTAGCAATAATTTGTCCTGGACTTTGAAGGGGGGTGTCTCGGAAGGCCCTAGGACACTAGACCCTAAAGTCTTACCAATGTGGCCGGTCCTTGAAACTTCTTAGAGTTTCTCTCTCTCTCTGGAGCTCTTTTGTCTTACTAAGACCTTCAACAAATAGTTACTTTCTGCTTCTCTTGTCCAATTAGCATGATGTTATCAGTCTGGTGGACGGTGTCATGTTCTCAGGTGTTCAGCCACTTTGTCTCCTCAGAGGGAAATAGAGCTAACATAACTTTGGATTCAGAATGTAACTATATGACCCATGGAGGAGCTGCCCTAGGAGCATTGTGTCTGGTCCGGCTCCCATAAGCTTTAGCAGGATGTTAAATCGTGTGTGCTAGTAATTTCTTAATTGATAAACTTACACTCCACATCCTTGGTCATGAACCCTCCTTTCCAGGGCCATGCACAGTCTCTCAGCCCCTGCTGGTACGTGCTGGTTAGATTCTGAAACCCCTTTGAGATATTGTCCCTTTCCTTCCTTATCAGGCCCAGTAGAGCTATGGCTTGGTTTTGCTGTTATTTAAGTCTGTATGGGCTTTGATACTGAGGGAAGGTGGGGAAAAATCCGGGGAAAGTTCGTGTCTTGCTGAGGAAAAGCCGCTGCACTGTCTTCAAAATACAGGAGAAAGCTAGCCCTTAAGTAATCTGAGGACTCATGATTTTTGGTGTTATCAATCCTATTCCGTGTGTCATGGTTCCATCTCTCAACCAGGGCCCTGACCTTGGTGTAGAAAATACACATTGTTGAAGAGTTTAATGTTCTTTGGAGCTCTGCTACTCTTAATATTAAGTCCTAGTCCTGGTCCTCAACATTCTCTGTGTTCTCACTGCAGGAATTGAGCCTCCTCCAATGCTACCAAAAAGGCATTCTGGCTTTCACACTTAGCTACTAATTGTCAATTATCTTTTTATCTTTTTCTAGAGCATCAGTAAAGATTTGCAATTGTCACCTAACTCCTTTATCTTTATAATTATGAATTCCCACCATATTTTTCAAATGATTGACAGAACTAAGGCATTTCTTTCCACTGGTGTATGATCCAAGTTCACCACTGGTGAAGTTTGCACGATTGCCAGGGACTCTCTGTGCTCTACTTTCCAGAAGTCATGAGGTATTCATTACTAGCCTGACAGCTTGCAAATCCCATCCACACTGACTTTCTTAGATCATTCCTGGCAACAAAGGTCACAGGTTGGTTTCCTTGAAAGCAAACTCTGAGATAAATATTAGCATGCTGGGGACTTAAGAAGTGCTATATCACTTCGTCAAGTGTTCTTTCTGTCTCACTATGTCTTGATCCTCCTTTCTGAACTCCAGTTACTCATACATTAGACCACTTGATATTGTCCTACACGTCTGTAAGTCTCTCTTCATTCTTTGAAAAATTCTTCGTGTTCTTCCCATTGCATAAATTCTATTAATCTTTTTTTGTTATTTTACTAATCATTTCTTCTGCTACCTATAATCTGATGCTTAGACTATCTAGGAATTTTTTCCCAAATATTGTACTTTTCAGTGTTAAAACTTACATGCTTTTTGTCATTTTCATCTCTCTGCTGATATGCAGCAATCTCTGCTCATATTCTCTGTTCCCTCATATAAATGTCCTTTATACCTTTAAATATACTTACATAATAACTGCTTTAAAGCTCTTTTGTCTTAATTTCAATATCTGCATTTTTTTTCCAGTGTAGGCACAAATTCCTGGATTTTCAAGAGATCAGAGTCAATTTTTTTCACATCATATCCAGAAAGAGAATTCAACGAATGTTCTGTTGTAACAAAAGTATCCTACAATGAAGTGGCCCAAGTACAAAAGAATTTTATTGGTCTCTTATGGAAAAGGCCATGTCTGCAGCTGGTCAGGATAAATGCTTCTACACCATCCGTCACACAGGAGCCCTGACTCCTTCTATCTTGTTGCTGCTGTCTCATCCCTGTCCCAGGGGTTGTGCTCAGGTGCACAGGTGACGCTGCTCCCACTGTCATGTTCACATCCCAGCCTGTAGGAAAGGGGAAAGGGAGGAAGTACAAGGCAAGCAATATCCTTATAAATATGCACTCAGGGAGTACATACATCACTGTTGTTGCTGAGTCCAAACTCATTCTG